GTAGTAGTAGCAGTAGTAGCAGCAGTAGTAGTAGGTAGTAGGTAGTAGGTAGTAGGTAGTAGGTAGTAGGCAGTAGGTAGTAGGTAGCAGGTAGTAGGTGGTACGTAGTAGGTAGTAGGTAGTAGGTCGCTGGATCAGAATAGACAACCATTGGACTGAGACATGTCGATCGCTGGATCAGAATAGACAACCTCTGATTCGGATTCGTTCCGTTTCATGGTCAAACAACCTTGAAATAAACATCAACAAACTCACCCAGCCAAATGTGCACCTCCAATGCACCAACAAGTATGATTGAGCAGGGTATTGTATCATTAAGCTGCCTGCCAATGCGGGCTCGAGCTGGTGGCCGGCGGCATGCCGAAGGCTGTATAAATATGTCTAAAACATGGCTAGGGGTATGGCAGTTCGCTCGGCTTGATTTACCCCGTCTTCTGACAAGTAGGCGGCACCAGCAAGTGTTGACAGCACCATGAAGCATCCCCCAAGTAGTTCAAAGCCGAGCTATCTTTGCACTTAGAATCAACGAAAACGATTAACTCCTTCAAGTAACGAGTTTAGAACATCCACCCGGAGCAGCTCTGAAACCCAGAAATTCGATCATCTCACATCCAATGTCCGGTCATGGGATCAAAGTTCTACCAAAACCAGACCAGCTCATCCAATGCTCGGAAATGCTCCAAAGCCAAGTTGATTCAACTAATATATAGTTTCTACAACATCTGTGTTACTTATTTTAGAAAAAAATGAACATAGCAAAGGTCCCTATAGTTTCTACAAATATATAGTTTCTATATTTATGTTTCGCAAAAATATCAAGGTCCCTTAGCTTGTGTCAGTTTTCACAGAGCTGGTGGAGTTTTTCCTCCAACTTCAGAGCCCAAGAAATCGCTCCGACTGTGTCTCGTCTCGTGACCTCGGCTCGTGGTCGTTGGTCTGTTTGGGGGGACCAAGCCGCTCAGGACGGACCTCCGACCGCAACGATCGAGCGACCACGTGACCGGCCGTGCCTCGCCGTTGGTTCGTCTGTGCGACGAAGGAACCCTTCCCTCATCTCGAGAAACAGATGGAACCAGCTCAGCACTCCATGTCGGGAACAAACCAACTTCAACCCATCAGTTGAGGAAGAGCCCTGGAAAAGAAATGGGAAAAAGAAAGGGGTCTCTCGTGGCGGTCGAGATCGAGACTTCCCTTTTTCATTCACCTCTCCTCCACATTCTCGTAAACCACATTCTCGAAGCTCATGGCCTTCGCAGGCTCCTGGCCTTCCTCCTGCGGACGAGGAGAGCCCCGGCAGTGTGCCGTGGGCCGCGAAACGCGTGTGGCGCGCCGTGGGCCGCGAAACGTGTGGCGTGCCGCGGGCCGCGGGTCTCGGTGCGTGTGGCGCTCCGCCCGCCCTGGCCTCACCGGTGGGTTTGGGATGCGAATACCACTGCACGAAGGGTTTCCCTTTCGCCAGGGCCTTCTCGATGGCTGTGCCTGGGCGGAAGATGAGCGAATTCAAGAGATGACTGCTAAGCTATGGCTGATGGAGTCCCGTGGTACTAATGGTAAACTTCAAGTATAGATTAATCTGAAGCTTGAGTCGGGGTTCATGATGCCTGAATTTGTTGATCTCTGGGAGGTGAATCGACTAGCTCTATCAAGCAAGCCATGGGAGCGTCTACCAGAACTTGCCCGGGCTGTTGAAACCTTAATGCGCATGCAGGTAGATGTAGGTCGACCACCCATGTGCCATGTACACGACCGACCGAACTGAAAACCCTTTCTGTTTGCGGACTGTGTGGTCGCGGTACCTTCTCCCACCTTCTCCCCATGCGCATGAAACATGGTCCATCGCACCTAAGAGCGCTCGTAATTCCAGTACATCTAAGAATCAAGGACCCTCAAAGGTGAAGGTTTTGAGGGTCCAAACCCCTGCTATGCAGGGTCAAAACCCTCTATAGGAGGATCCAATGTTGATTCGATTCTTATAGGGTACATATAATAGAGCCGCCCTTTGGAGCCCCTCCATGGGATGTTCAGAAGAATCTCTCACACGCCAGTTGTGTGGTTTCCGAGGCCAAATCCTACCCATCACACCTCGACATCACCAGCGTACCCCGGCCCCGCCCCAACTGCTTTCCCTCCACCGCGCGGCGCTCGGCGAGGTTCATCTGGGTGGAGTTGGGCACCGGCTCCCAAGCGCAAGGCCCGTCCAGGAAGCTCCACTCGAAGTCCTGCGGTTCCACCGGTCCCACCAGGGCGCGCGCGGGCGCGCGACCGGAAGCGCCGTGAGGGAAGCCTGGCACCACTGCTGCGCCCTAGGTCACCTGTCCAAAAAAAACCATAGTTTAAAAGATGTTTAAAGCGATTCTAACCGATTCTAACCGTTATAGACAAGGTCAAACTGGGACATTGGGTTAAAAAAACCCAGACATGTACAATATATATAGGGAAAATGTTTGAAAAAAAGGGATGCTTTCCACCTTGTTAATGTTCACCTCCGGCCTTCCTTGCCCGTGTACGCACCCCGTGCGGCCTCCCCCGCCATCTTCCGAAGACCGGCCGTCTGAAAGTTCCTTCCGCGTCGAAAGCGACTGCGAACTCAGCGGACTCCGCGGACTCGGAAACACAGCGAAAACACGAGTTCCGAGGAGTAGGATGTGGAGATATCTTCGTTCCATCTCGAAAAGCAGTTATGTCATGTTATGTCTTTTCATGTTTATTCTCTTTCATTATTAGGATGAATTCTGATATCTTCAAAATAGATTTATGATTGGCACACAAGGTCTGGAAGAGCGGAGCTCTCCGGAAGCCGCTCGAGGATATAATAGTTGAACATGGGTCCCTATAGTCCTAGTCCTTTGAGAATCGCTATGCGCGCTGAAACCGTGCAGTTGGTGCCTTCTTTTTTGGAAACTGTGTCGTTGATAGCACCCAGTCATCGTGCCGGCCCAGTCATCGTAAATTCGAACAACATGGCGTCCCCGGTGTCCGATCCCTTTTGGTAAGGTTTCAGGATGGATGATGTGGGCAAGGCCATCCTGCAAGGCCATGCTGAGTTCTTGGACCCAGCAATGCTTGTGTTGTCGGATCTGGACCTGTGGATCCAAAGAAGAGTGGACAAACCTCACTGAAGAGTGGACAAACCCCAGAAAACCCACTGGATGACCACAACAGCTTGGTTGCAAGGATTAGTGTTAGCCGTTTTTTCGGCCGCGGCCCCAGCCCCTGCCTCGGAAAGCAACGTAAAGAGCACGACAGCAGTAGAACAACAGAAAGACCAGAGGAGGACATAACGAGGGAAGGACAACAGCAGGACAACTGCAAGCACCAGGGACAAGAGGACAAGACACGGACACAGCGTTTAGGGGCGCGGCCAGCCACTGTGGCCAGCTCCTTTTTCCCTAAGAGAGAACCTGGTTTGGGGAAATATCCAAGAAGCTGCTCAAAAAGTGCCAGTGGAGAAAGATGCAAACGGCTCCCAGCCATGCCCAAAAGAAGCGTACACGTGCGACAAAACACTTAGCAAACCCCATGGGGATCGTCATCCTCTTGATCTCCCAACCAACGCGGCCAAAGCAACATGATGTTGGAGTTGCCGGGGGCACCGTGCAAGGCCAGCACACGCAGCCTGCGCGATGGTGACCTGCCGGTGCCGCGACATCGTCACGAGGAATGGTGAGGGATGGGATGTCATGTGCATGTTTCTGCGCTTTGAACAAGTGGTGGTCATGCACTGCGCTGATCTGACATCGGTTTCAGGTTCTTGAGCATGCCAAAGATTGGATTTCAGATGATTAAGCCAACCACACATCCAACAAGCATCTTTCCGGCTTAGCCTTAACCATCCAAGACTTGGTCCTTCACGTCCTTCACGGACGTCTCGTGGTCCATCCCACTGATCCCCACCGTCCCGCCCGACGCTTCCACCAGCCTGGCTTCCACCAGCGGCTTCCCCTGGGCGTCGCAGCAGCGAGCCGAGGCCCCCGTTCGGGCGCCGAACTCCGTGGGTGTTCCTAAGACACCGTGAAGCGTGCAGCTCCCCAAATGCCCAGAAAAAGAGGATGGAATTCAGCCTGAACTCGGAGGGGGACCGGACCCATTTACCCAATGGCATGTATCATTTTAGCCGATCATTGGGGTTCGTTATGATGGAAAAGGGTCAATGTAGTAGGATGTAGTAGGTGAATACGGATTGTTGGGGATATGGAACCATCTGTTTCACATGACGAAACCACGTGTCACTCGTGTCAGATGGTCACTCAACTAACTCAACTGGTGTCTGGAGTCTTCCTCAAAAACCAGGGTCTTCTCGACGCAGATCGCAAGAGAAGGATCCAAAAACATCTGCATGCAGTCGCCAGAGCCGCAAGAACAGTTGAGATGACTTGAAGAATGACGGCAAAACAAACATCGAACAGTTTCGACTTCAGTTTGGCCTTTTCACTTTCTCTTCAGTTTTCATCCATGCCCGCCATCGCTGCGGACCCCTTTCTCGACACGCACCTCGTCCCGCAAACGCAATTGTGCGCGCCTTCACGCGCATGGAGATCCAACCGCAGGGAGGACCCGTCCCGGACCTCGCCGGGCGTTGAAGGGCCTTCCCAAAAAATGTTCAGAAAACCTTGGATTTTAAGGACTTGACCAAACAACCGTCTTTTTCAGTACAAAACCAGGTCAACCTTTTCATACTTTATATACCTGGATCTCCAACAAAGTTGAAACTTCAAACTATATTGAACAAAAAGAATTTATTCTTATTCTGCAAATTCGGATTATTTGTCGTTTCCCTCGCTTACTTTCGTATTCGACGGATTTTTGGAAAAGGTGAAGCATGTGTATGTCATGGTTTTTGAGCCAAGGGTTGGAGTCACCCACCGGTCCAGGTAGCTACCCCCCCTAGCTCGTTGGGGATCGGATCGCTCGGTCGGGAACACTAACACCCGATTTTCACAACATAGATTAACACATATACCCAGACACGACTGTATAATCTGTATAATCTGTCTACATTGACCCCCCTGGCACCACCCCTGGCCTCTCCGTTTCTCGGCAGTCCGGACTGGCAGTCCCGTCGACGGGTCGTGTCTGGGATGTTTGGACATATCGATGACTCGCTGACTCGATGAAGACGACTGGGTCACCAGGAGGTACTTAGTACTGGCGGGCAGGGATAGATGAGGGAGCTCTTGGGGTCTGCTGGAAAGTATGCGAATGGCTCATCCTGTTTTTGTAGAAACTCTCTCAGGGCTAAGCCACTAACGGCTTACAAGCATTGGGCATCCTTCCATCACCTAATTCGAAACTTCCACTATCTTCCACTGGAGGCGTCCTCCCATGGCCCCAACTGCCATAGCGCAAAGGATGCTTTGAGTCACACGAGCCAGTACTTCAGGCGCTCCTCCATCTCCTTCTTCTGCGACAAATCAGCCATGATCAAAGCTCCTCAGTTCGGTCCGCTCTGGCGGCCGGGCGCTGTCGGGCGAGCGGAATGCGTTCGGTGGTGTGCTGCAGCAAAAACGCAGCTGCAGTGCAGCAGCTGGACTGGAAAAAAAAACAGAGCTTCAGCATGGTCTATATGTCAATGTGATAGAAATTCAATCCTGTAATTCTGTTAGCGTCCCCCCCAAGGGGTGTTGATTAAGGGCACCCCAAAAAGAGGTGATTTTGGGGGGGGTGTCCGTTAACCGTCCCAATGGTATGCAGCACTGCTACTAGCACTGCTATATGGATTAGGAATTTGGCATGCAAAACTCCAAACAAAGTGGGACGGTTCTGAAGCAGAATCGTTTTTGTTTGTCGATGTGGTAAGAACAGGTGCCCACTTGAGAACCACACAGAAGATCCAGATTACTTCTCCTGTTGACAAGCGCTCTGCTTCTGCAGGTGAAGAAAGCTCGCAGCCTGCAACCCAGAGAACTCGTCGAACTCGGAGACCCGTGGGTGGTGGTGTTTTCACCTGCTCATTCGTGCGTACTGTATCAACGTCAGACCATCCTTTCTGCGCGGTGGATGAATCAAGTAGGCCAAGCATGAAACACTGGAATGTTTAGGCTGCAAAGACGTGAATGGTGTCCTGCAATGACATGGGAGACTTCCTCTGTTCATAGCCAAGAAATGAAGTGCGAGGAGGGTGAACTCATGTCCATCCCCATCTTTTACTACTACTGTAGTAACGTACAACAAGCATCATCAAGCGTCTACTTTTGACCTCGACCATCTCAAACCAGGATTCTTCCGATTTCACACGTCCCCTGCCCGCGCGAATGACGCCGCTTCCCTCGACGCCTCGCGCCGCTCGACGCCTTGCGCCGCGATGCGGGGCGCCTTGCCGCACGAGAATGCCGCCCTGCTCGACGCCTCCCACCACTTCCCAGAGCTGCGGCGGCATGGCGCCGCAAAGAGTCCGAAGGTGGCTCTTGGTGCCACAGGCTCCGTGGCAGCTAAGGCATGCTTCATTAAGTCTAAAAACAATGTCCTTGTTTTCTCGTGTTTCCATGTCCACATCCCACCATGCGCTTTTGCCATCTGAGGCTATTGACGGATATGATGCAGGCAGAAGTCAAGGGACAAAAAGTGCATAAGGATGGGAAAGGCAGCCAGCTGGCCAACCTCGTATGGGTCACTTCATGTCATTGGCAGAAGCAAAAACATGGTGGCCTCGCATCGCTCATCATCTTGATGAGGTCTTCCCACTGTTGTGTTTTCTGATTCCTTGTTTACGCTTTTTTAGCCCGAAAAGCCTCGCAAGCATCTGCTAAAAGTTGTCTCTATTTTATGACAAAAGCCTATTGCGATGCTTTGGCGGACGAAGCGTTGCTGGATGAGGTCTGGCCACACCATTGAGCCCCAAAAAGAAGGACGGCAACGATCCTCGGGCACCAACGTTTCAAAACGGGAGCTGTTGAAAAGAAAGAAGTGAACAAATACTGCTTGCTTGCTTGTCTTCAGGAATGTAACACGGGGTTGCATTAATTGCACTATAGCTCGTGTTGGATCTGTTTTGAAGTTATCAACTGCTTTTGACAACCTTGAAAAAGAGATAGAGAGAGAGAGAAAGAGAGAGAGAGAGAGAAAGAGAGAAAGAAAAAAAGAAACAAACCAAACCCCAAAAAAACAAACACAGGTCAAGACTCAAGACCCCCCCGTCCGATGTATCCACCTTTTCGGGTCATGACCGAGGCCGACCGCATGGTCGGGGTCGACCTACACAGACCCACCGTCGGGCCGGCTCCTGCACGTAGCCCTCCTCTGGGCCCACGTAGACCTGCCGATCCGCCGAAGCACCACAGAGCTTCGGTGGGAGCGAAGCGGTGGCGGCACATTCATCTACAGCTCTGGAACACATGCTCTCTCTCTCTCTCTCTCTAGATGAGCTGGATGAGTATATGTAATAATATTACACTTAAGTTCTGAAGTTGTTGCTTCTCTGCAAGAACTCAAGGAAACTACTCACCAGCCATGTAGGACTTTATTTCAGGGGTCCTCTCCCGCTCCTTGAACATCTGAAGCAGATGAGACGTGCTATCCATCCATCTACACTGACCCACCCCTTCGACTTAGAGTCGTGTTCATCCATGTGAATCCAACGATTGAATTGAGAATCGCTGTTGTAGGATGTTCTATGTTCTTCTTGTGGTAGGTAGTGAAATTGATGCTCTTCGTGGTGTGGCTGTAGACCTCAGGTGAAACTTCTTACTCTCAAGATCCACCTGGTATAAGGCTCACGATCTGTCCAACCACATCCGAATCAAATCAGCACAAGTACTTTCGCCCCACCAAATCAAGATGGATCAAGCGCCCCCACTGCAAAAGCCCCGGCTGCACTAGTTCGACAAAGACGGACCTTCAGTCCCAGAAGATCCATCCTGCCCGCGTCCGCGCATACGCGCATCGAAGCGCGCGGTCAGCGGGGCCATGTTCTCGTAGTGGGTCACGGTGACGCCCAGCTCTGCGGAGTACTTCTTGCCCGTCTCCTCGAACGAAAGGCGCTGCACGGACGAAGGGTCACAGCGCCATCGAGCGTTTGCGAATCGATGACTGGTGTTTGCTCAAAGGCTTCCTCCGGTTTGGTACGCCGTTTGGTACGGTCCGTTGGGTCCGCTTTCGCCCGGAGCTTCGTGTTGGGTCCGAGCGTCCCCATCGATTCCCACCGACCGGGACGCCGCCGGAGGACGAAGCGCGGACGCGTCGATCGGATCGTCCTGAGCATCGTAAGGTCCGTAGAAGTCCTCACCGTCGATGGTGCTCTTGGTGCCTGGACCAGATCGGTGCAACGGGACTTTTAGTGCAAAGAACGCTCTTGGGATGCTTTGGGGGCAGAATTTGGTGTTAGACGTCCAGAATCAGTTGGCAAGCAATCAGTTCGACTCTGAACATGCTTGCTTAGCCATGTGCAGTTTAAAGACACGTCCCACAAGAGTGGTGTTGCGTTGCGCATCACACCCATAACTGGGTCGATGAGTCGGAGCCCTGAAAGATTCAATAGGGTGTATCTCTCTCCATGGTATGTTTCATGGGAAAAGGGGTGACCGCTGCTCTGTGGTGTTCGACGCCTGAAGAGCTTCGAAGAAACTTGACCACCCCTCTGATGGGGCCATAACACTCATCGATGTTGAACAACTTCAAGAACCTGGGAACAACACTTAACCTCCCCTGTGATTCAGGCTATTAGCGGCTATTCTGCAGGAGGACCCCCAAAAAACTCAGGACTCTGGGCACCTGCCATGTCACGTCCGATGATGAAGTGAGTGGCGCCATAGTTCCTGAGCCCAGCGGCACAGCGTTCTGTCTGCAAAGAAAAACTTGGATGGCCATGCCATGCCATACCGGGTTATTCAAAACAAGATGCCCGCGATTTTTGAACCATTCTTACATATTCTTACCTTCTCCACTCCTCTGGACCTCCAATAACTACCACCTTGTGTGACATCTCTCCATGCTGAAGCCAAAAAAAACCGCCATGTTGGCTTTACTTGCGGAGAAGTACATGTACTGCAACAGCCATTGAAGTTGGGGGTTCAAGGGGGTGGGTTTGCCAGTTTTGAACATGTGATGGGATGGCTTCTTTTTGAAGAACCCGGTATGATGGCGTGCAGGAAGGAAGCTGGGAGAACTACCAACTCCTCTACAAGTACTGCTTCTATCTGTCTATCTGTTGCTGAAAGAGTTGCACAGTATCCTTCGCCACTGCAATATGCTGAAATGGCTGGCAACGGGGGAAAGCTATCATCCTCGATACTTGCACCCGATCCTATGGGTTCATACTCATTCAATCGAGCCAATCAATATCATCTATCCGGTGGGTGTGGGTGCACGGTGGACGTTGTGACGGAGAGCATGGGTTTTGTGTAAGACTCATGGGTCCATGTAGGTCGTCAAGTCATCCGGACGTCTTCTTCAAGCCATGTGACTAGTCTCATGAAAAACACACCCTGCACGTTCGCATCAAACACACCCTGCTTCATCCCGCTTCATGAATATCTTCTGAATGTTGCGCTGTCGTATGGCTTATGGGGGTTGGGAGTGCATGTACGCCTTTTGAGATGAATTCGAAGGACCCTAAGGGGGCACTATATGTCCTGCACTCCCTGAAACAATGCCTGGAAAAAAGACCACGTGTTCCATCCGGTTCCATCGTTTTCCTCTACAAGCTTGGGGAGTTTTCCGCTGGATGTCATTTCCACTGGATTCTTTCGCCACTTTGCGCAGTTCTGGGCAAATGCCTGTGCAATTCGATCAGATCACACCTGTAATCCCCATATCACCCTTAGAGTTCGAAAAGCATCTACCTCCACCTGCACGGAACTACCCAGGTTGGGGATCAGAGCAGGATGAACAAATGGTCGTTACTGTCTGTATCTTCCCCAGAGGTTGACTGGAAGACTATGCTACCAATTGGACTAACTCAGACGGAACGGACCATTTCCATCCATCGTTCCACCTCAATGCGCTGTCCGTTGTTGCACGGGACTCACATGGGACGTCTTGGACTCCCCACTTTCGGATGATCATGTGCTGAATGGCTTCCCTGGGGCCAGCCTGAGAGCGAAGAGGCTGCAAGAGGCTGCCTTGCTGGGTAAAAGCAAAACAAACACCCGAAGACCATTGGGTCCGTGGAACTTCTGTTTCTCAGATCCAAACCTGCAGGTGAGTATCTGTTAGTCATGCTGGGAGCTGCAGTCATGCTGGAAGACTCCGTGTTCGTTCTTCGTGAGGATTCATCCCTTCGACCTAAAGTCAGAGACCCAACTGCAGTAGGTCACTAGGTCTCTGAATTCTTACTGCCGGCCCTCCATGGCAGGGGGAACCTCCATAGGGGTCTGGGCCCTCAAAGCCCTATGTGTTTGAGGACCCGGATTCTTAGGGTGGTCATAGAAGCATCCTGATACTAAGATATACAACGGTCGCCTCTTCCAGCCGTCCCTCTCGAATCGTCGATCTGAGATCCCCAAGCCATCTTCATGCTGTAAGGCCTCGGAACACAATAGATCACAGGCTGTGCAGACCTCTATTGGTAACACAGTTCGCCATGGCCATGTTTCACCACCATTCGTTGGCACTATCTTTGTTGGGAAACTCTGGGAAATACATGAATCCAGGAGCCCTTTTCTCGGCTTTGCAAAGGACAACTCATCAGCGCTGGAAGGAGCTCCAAAACGTATGATGGTATAAGGATAAGTTGATAAGTGGTCAAAAACATTAAACTTAAAGTATCCTGAACCTACAACTGTTGAATCTATGTTGAATGTATGTATCTAGTACATCTTTCATCTGGGCGCTCATAATCAGGGCAAAGCCTTGGCGTATTTGGCTGTTCGTCAACTTCTGTCCAACACAGTCTGAGCTTCGTACAAGTAGGCCCACCTGAACATGGGGTACTCCTGCTTGGTCTCATCCTTCAGAGCCTTGCCATTTGGACGTTCTCAGTCTGGGGTTTGAGCGAAGGCCCAAGGATGGCTGCCTTCATCAAAAATGTATCTTCGTATACTAAGGATTACTGATGCCCCTCTGCAGGTCCTCCCATTTCACTTCTGCAACATCTGCACAGAAGTGTCCCCGATCAATTCGGCCAAAACTGCCGCAGCTCTGTTTACACGCTCCCTGAAGTCATCAGGGAAGTGGATGGCACATGATGGTAGCACCTGTTTGGGGACTGAGGAACATGGTTTTCTCCGAGTCTTCGGGATTATCCCATCCCATCCACTTCACCCTGATGTCAGGGGGGTCTAATGCCACCAAAAGAGTATAAAAATCCATTCAAATCCGCTTCCACCGGTGCCAAACCTCGGCCCCCCTTTCCCCCCTTTCGCCACCTTCCAACCCTTCCGACCCCCATCCATCGGCCCCAAGACCCCATACGCTCGCTCGCCCGAACGGTCGGCCGAACGGTCCACGAACGCCTCGTAGGTCTGGATTCGGACCAAGCCATCGATGTCACCCGGCTGGGTGGGGCCGCAGGTGGGGTGCACCAACCTCTGGCTCAGCGGCTTCGCCGGAGGTTCGGCGCAGCAGGTTCAGGCGCAGCCGGTGGGTTGGGCGGCACAAGGAGAGAAAAGGAAACAAAGGCTGTTTCGTCTGGTTTTTGTCCGGAGGATCTTTGGGAGAGGGTGTCTATAGTCTATACTGTATATGTGTGTCTAACATGTTGTTCCTGTTCTTTGCATGATCATAATGATCATAGTGAGTCATAGGGAGGAAAGTGAACGTCAGAGATGCTGCTTATACATTGTTGTTTCCATCTGCTTGTGCCCACACGTTTCCCTACCGTCCGAAGCCCTCCTTCCACCAAAGCCGGAACTGAACTGTTTCCCGTCACGTCACTCCCCAACGGCTGCCGAACGTCTCCCCGACGGCTCGTCCGTGTCGACCGAGGCCGAGGCAGAATGGAGTCCTTCACATCCTTCTGGGCCTCGACGATCCGATGGTCGTACGCGGTCTTATGCGCCCACGTTCGGTAGAGATGCAGCAAAGGTGGTCGTATGCGGTCTTTTTTGGGTGCCCACGTATTATGCGGCAGGTATGCGTGCACATACGCCACACGTGCTGGGCTCGGAGCTCTTTTGAGTCTTCCATGTTTCCATAGGTTGATGGCATAAGTCTGGTCTTAAGACCCCAGAAGTTGGGCCAGTTGAAAGCCGGACTTGCTATATATACAGTATACGCCGTTTTTTTCCAAAGCGGAAAGACACAAATATGACCCCCAATTAGATAGAAAAGTAGATCCTAAGAATGTATTGGACACGTTCTATCTATTTGGGGACCAGTAAAGGAAATGATCCTTCCTAAACGTCCGTGCAAAACGTCTGGTCCGATTCGTTCCTCCACCGTCCTCGTTTTCACAGCCAGACCGTTAGACCTTCGCTCCAGGTGGGCAAGATTGCCCAACCACCAAGTAAGACGGAGGTTCCATGACGGTTTCACAAGACGCCAAATGACTGATGCGCAGATATTTCGCCCTCCATCTGTTCGTTTTTCAGAAGCTTAAGAAGCTGAATGGACAACTTGTTCGTGAGCTGAAACTTGGCTGACTAGGAGGCCCATGCCAAGCGGCAAGCCCACTTGTTACACTGCTGTTACACCAGCTCAGAGCGCCAAAGGCCACCTTTCAAGGGTCAACCAGTTCTGGAAGTCAAAAACAAAACCCCAAGCCGAAAAGATCCACCCCACGTTTTCATCCTGCTCTCTGGCTTTGTTGATGCCTAAACAAGATCCGAGGGGCGCAAATCAAGAGCTCGAAGTGGGCGCGGTGGATGGGGTTTCGGTTCTGGAAAGCCACCTTAGGCAGCACGAGTCAAATGGTTTTCGCACCAACGGCTGGGGGTCTGCGGTCCAAAAAGACACAGCCGGTGTGAGGGCTGCCGGTTTAGCTGTGGATGGATGTGGATGGCTTCTTGCAAAAGAAACATCACGCCGATGCCTATGACATCCTTATGTCATATGTCTTGAAAAGATCTCACCCAACATCCCTGGAGCTCTTCAGAGCCTGTAGCTTCGGTGTGCTTGACCAATGCCGATGAGTTCTTGAGGCTCCAGCAACCTGCTTGTTCTCGGGGAGGGTGGCGCGCACCTCGTAGGGTCACTGGTGCACATGGTGGAAGCAAATTCCAAGCAAAAAGGGTCAAGAGGGACTGTGACAACCGGACATGGGTGTGGTTCAAAACAAGAGAAGCTGCGTTTGGGGGACAGCAACTTCAAAGCCGATGATCGCCTATGATATGCCTATAGTCGCTGCCCGTCACCCTTTGATCATTTACTTTGAGTGTTGGCATGGACAGAATCAGCAGCACTGCCACCGTCACCGCCATGGGCCATGGAGAGTCCGATCCTTTAAGGCACCAGGAGGAGTTGGAGAGTCACACAAGTCCTTTGTGTTGCTGATGCTTCTCATTCTTACACTATCAGATGATCACCCCTCTTCTGATGTTCAGCATGTTCAAACACGAATTTATAGGGTCATCCCTTTCAGGGTGATGCCTTATAGATCCTTAAAAGGATCCAGAAAGTGGATCCACTTGAAACCAGCTGTCAACGGCAGTTTCCACGTCCCATCGGGGAAACCCCTCCTCCGCAGGGGTCTGCGTGGTGTAGCCGAACTTGGGCAGCTGAATGCCGTGGATCCTGGCGAGGAGCAGATACCCCACAAAAGAACCACCTGAATGAGTGTTCCGAGTTCCTTCTATTCTAAGTACGGTAGATAAGTCAGGTGGAATGATCCCCCAGGAAGGGCCACCTGAATGAGTGATTCCTTCTAACTACGGTAGATATGTCCAACCAACTGAGGGTGGAATGCTCCCAACCTGTGGCCACTGTGTGGTTTGCTCCATGGCCATGCTCCGGCAGAGGGGCGTTATCCCTTGCACCATCGATCCACTTGCACAGTCGAGACAGAGTTGGTGACCGTTTCAGACCGAATAAAAGGGATCCAGGATGAATTCCCAACAGAGGTTGAAGGATCCGAACTAGACTATCCCAGTTGGGTACCTCAGAAGGGTTAAGGTCACTTGACCTCTCTTGGATCTGATGAACACATCACACGTGCAACATGTGGATGGTGGACCGTCCCGAGTTCGGAAGACCACTTTCCTGCCCACGTTTCTAGGGGGGGGCTGTTCTGAAACCTCCACTTCCATGTCATGACGCAGCCGGTAGCGCCGAAGAAAGAACAACCAGCGCCTTCCACCCACGTAGAATTTGCCTCAGCCGTGGGGTGGGGCACGGCTGCGGACTTGCAGGCTGGACCCAAACCTTTGAGGTCATCAAGTATGTCTTTTCAGCAAAGGTGCCAATAGGTCTCGGTGATGTCGTTGTTATACTCCGGAATTAGAAATGATATTCCCGTTAGGTTCTGGATGGTTCTGGGGAGCCCATCGGATGTCTAGGTTCAGCCCATGCGACCCGTTGGTATTTCATTCTCGAGATGCCACTTCTGTCCAAGAGGGGCGTCCCAGGTGATGAGATGCCATCTCCACATGTCTCCGACATCACTCCAAGGACAGGGTTTTCGTGCATCAAAACCGGCAGGTGGACTCGACTGAGAGAAGACCTATCATCCCTGCACGCGAGATGCAGTAGCTCTCCAGTACTACCAGCAGTGGATCTCATATAAATGATTTTGCTGGGTTTTGTTGAAAATTGCTAGTCCTTTCCCATTGTGTTCAAAATGGCCAGAAGACGTCTGCAAAGAGCACAAAAGGCATCGGACTCCTCCCAATCAGACCGAACAAGCAAGCAAGGGTTTCTGACTCCACCAATTGATCAAGAATAACTCCAAAACCATATATCTCCATCATCTATAGTCATTCATTATGCCTGTCTTGTCAAAAACCTCTGCTTAGCCCCAAACCCGGATCCGCGTGTCAACCAGCGGAGCGACACGTCGCCCCGTCGCCCGGAGCGTGACGCAGTCCGTCTCTCCTTTTTTCTTCCTTAACGTCGCTGAGGACATCTCCCCAATGTGTCCGGATCCATCGATGCTCCTCCAGGACTTCATGAGGCTTCGGGCTTCCTTGGAGAGAGCAGCGTAACAGCTAGGACGGCTTCTCGCGCGCGAGAGCGCGCTTGCGCGCTGAGATTGGCTTATTCATGCTTATTATAAAGGTCTTCCGAGTTCCAAATGTTCAGCACATGTATCTTTCCAAGGCAGACTTGTCAGGTCCAGGAATCTTAGAGATCTCCTGGCAAGTTTCATCTGCGTTCTGTTCTCCTCAGGTCCTTCTGGGTATGGAACGACTGGAACGACTGTTTTTTTTCCTGTTTTGAGTCACACCTCTTACAAGTTGCAAGGGAATGCAAGAAAAGTACTAAATCCGCCGACCCCGGCCTATAGCCAAAGCCTAGGCGGGGAGGCGCCTGGGACACCGCAGGGTGAAGCAGTTGGCCAAGCCCTTCCAAGCACTTGCAAAGGCCTGTCCGAGGCCTCGCCAGCTGGCAGGCCTGCTGCGGCCTCTCTGTGGCCTGTCCGAAGCCTGCCTCTCTCGGCAGCTGGCAGGCCTGTTGCGGCCTCTCTGTGGCCTGTCCGAAGCCTGCCTCCTCTCTTCTTATGGGCTTCCGAAGGCGACGTTA